GCAAAGGCTCCGGTTTCGGATTCCTTATGAAAATTCACTACCTTGGTCTGCTCAACCTGGCAGTATTCAGCCCACACACAACTCATGGAGCGTTTTTCTTTTTGATAAAAATTCTTGTACTATGATTTGCTTGGCACACAGTCTGTCCTCAGACAAGTGTGTGAAAATATAAATATATATATTTCTCCAGAAGAGGGCTTCCAATGAGGTTAGTTTTTCAACCTGCACGGTGAAATCACCTGCATGCAATATGATATCAGAGCTGCCGCTCAACCGAATGACGACATAGTATTTCCCTTTTATAATTGAGGCTCTGGTGGATTGTTTGATTGCTGTATATGCAAAATTAATGATCGAACACCGTATAGTGTTACTTTCCTTCCGAACACTAAACGAATCCCGGCTACCCGTTGCGCACAAACGACTACTGTCAGGCATCCAATTTACCGGTGAGATCTCAGTTTTGTGCGAATCGTACCCCACACTGACCCAATGGCCCAGTTACAATGACCAACTAGCCTTGGTGCGTGGCAAACCACTTGTCTGATGGAATTTTACGTGGGCGGAGTAAGGGTTAATGGAGACGGTTAGATATAGAAGACAAAGGGTTTGGGATGTCTAAACAATAGCTCACTTATGTATAACCACCCCGTTCGATACAATAGGCAGTGTGGCCCTGATTTTCTAGTGCTGTATGGAATTGTGTTTGGTTTGTGTACGTATTAGAGTTTGATGGACAGGTACTACTAGAGGGCCGAACCACCAAACAAGAATACGATTAAGCTCAAGGCAGCAGGCAAGGCCAAATGGAGGCTCGTTTACTTGGATCGATTACTTCTCCACTATTCTACCGATTGAGACACTAATTCGAGTCGAACCATCAATCCAGAGAACCAGAATACTTAATTTTTCTGAACTCTGCCCTTTGGCCTTCCAGGCACGATAACTTTGGCTTAATAAAAGCCACCCTGTGTAGCTTGTTGGGTCACAGAGGTCTACCTGCCATTACACCACGTCTCGGTGCAGTCTCATTGTGATGAATAACAGTTTCACCTTCCTTTAGACAAAGTCGGGGGACACAGCCGGGATTCGGATCAGAGACCATTTGCACTCAAAGCGAGTATCATAACCCAGGACCATTGAGCTTTGCGCACATAAATAGACCCTTTTACCCTTTTTTATGATTTCGATAACTCATCTTTACCATCTCCCGAGGTTTGGCGAGTCGGCTTCTACGATCCACTTGTCAGATACTTCCGACCGAGGGTTTACCTTTCGATCTTCTTCGAATTTAGTGCAGACCAGTTATCGAGTGCTCTCCAGACCACTAAAAAATATATATATATATATCTGTCTGTTATGCTCTACGCTGGACACATGTCGTTCATCGAATTACCCAACTCACATTGTCTACCTTCTCACCTGCGATACACCAGTTTATCCAAATGAATTTCTACCTCATTCACTTCATGCTCAATTATATTCACGCACGTATCAACATGTACGGCTTATCCGTTGCCCCTCCTTAGCCTGTGTTAACTGTTGTTTTTGATTATTTATCCGCAGCATTGGTGTGCCTGATTTTCCCGATTTCCCGTTTCCTAGTGGAGGAATTCGCATTTTTTCCGACTATAAGATATGCTGGACTGATCAGTATACGAATGACTTCCACAGTTGCACAAATTGCTCATTTTTTTTTAAATTTCTCTTCTCCATGTTACTTGGTACCTTCCTCTGCCTAGGATCATTTTTATTTTGCATGCATTTCGCATTTAACAGATACCATCTACACAAGTGTTTTTTTAATGTGGTTTTTATAACTAATCTAGGGGATAAAAATCTATTTATCGGTCAAGTATCGTCAACACAGGCTGTTTTTTCTTGCGCAACCTTAATATATTGAACGAAACAGAAAGGGAATAATGGAGTTTTGTGAGATTCCATTTCAA